GAGAGAGAGAGAGAGATTCATGGGATATATATTTGGATCCAGAGAGATTGTTCACATCAGTACGTTAATAAAGACTATACGTACACCATTTAAAGATTTACTTTATATTTATATAATAATATAAACTCTAGTGCTGGGGCCATTCTTTTCTGTTTGAAATGGCCAATGTGTTTTTATTTTTCTATTTATTTATTTAACTTTATTTTATTTTTATTTTTTTTCTATTTATTTATTCTTATTAATCTTTTATATCTTTCTCCTTCAAAATACCATTGAAAGAAAGAAATGGCCAATGTGTTTGCAGTCAGGATGATGAAAATAAAAACATGTCTTCTTTTTTTAAAGAGGCTGTCATTGTTTTTTTCCCTCCTGAGTGTGTTTCCTTTAACTTGTTGCAGTCCCGCAGACGGAGGCCAGAGGTCGTCTAACTCTGCTGTCATGGTTACAGTGCCTGCACAGCTTTTCACCAGGGGCGGACAGGTACATGATTGCTACAGAGCGGCAGAGAGAGCAGGTGGCAGTGATGTGCATGAAAGGACAGACAGCTTTAATATGTGCCGACCGGATGAGCTGATGTTTGCTAACCCTTTCACCTGTACGGTCGCAGATACAACAGGAAAAAGGATTTCTGTTGTGTGTCTAAATTATTATTTATTATCCAGGCCTTTATTTCCTGCGTCTGATTGTGTTACATATTGCAAGTGCACCTTTTTGAAAGCCCTTTCAGAGAAATACTGGTGCACTGAGAAATGAATACCTCCTTAAAATGTATCATTTATTTTTGAACCCTTGATTTTAACTCTCTTTAAGATTCAGATGAATTAATGTGTCATATTATTTTGTGAATTTTAGGGGTTTGAGACCCCTTACACTGTGTATTTGATTTTACTATTAAACATTCATATATAATACTTTTAATAAATAATGTATTTATTAATTCATTAAGGCCACATTTGAGGTGTAAATACACAAACATCATTTAAATATCATTAAATTTCACCTATAAACATTTTAGACTAAAATCCTAATCAATCAAATAACCTTAAACAATGTTCTGAGGTAAATTAAGAATACATCAGTCACCTGAAGGTATTTTAGTTTAAATCTTGTTGATCTCTTTGTGTTTGTTGAGTTCATTTGCTACATCAACATTTTATTTAATCACTGCATTAAGTGCCTTTTTGCAGGTTTGAATAATTATTGTCATACCAGCTAATTCAAAATACCGTATGTAACGTATTCTTTACAAGAGACAAACTAAATGTTGGCTGGTGACATTGTCCATGTGGTTGCAGCTTCCTGCCCCCCCCCATTTCCTGTCTCCTCTCTGTAATCTAATTTCAAACTGTAGGTAAACATACCCCCAAAAATAAGCAGGAGGCCTCCGATGTACAATTCAACAAACCTTTATTTATGGACAGCCATTCCATATTATAACAAGAAGGTATGCAAACACACATATACACACACGGAAAGTGGTTTGAATCAGTCCTATGTTCAAAAGGCAGGCGGTTACAGCAGAGAAATTAACAAGTTAATTACAAAAACACTTTTGCTCTTTACAGCAACATGTAGCTTCACCCTTAACCTGGATCATTAGAATACACTTACAGAGAGTTAATACTATTTACACGCAGAATTTATTTACATTGGCAAAGCCTGAGAGACAAAAAGCTTCATCTACATTCTCATAGTGCTTGACAGTTGAACAATACTCTCAGTACAGGGGTTTGTGGTAGATGGATCCAATTGTCAGTCTGTGAGGGAGGCCGTGTACAGTTATCACATCCAACACCCGTTTTATGAGAAGACCTGAGCCAAAAAACATACAGACCACAAACAGAAGAGAACACTATTCCAACTGAAGGACTTATAGATAATAGAGAAAGAGTATTATCAGTTGAATAACAAACCTCCCACATGACATAAACTGCAATTAAACACTCTTGTCTGGCTTCACTTGAGTGTAGAGTTGTAAAATCGAAGCACTTCCAAGTTTGTTTTCTTAGAAGAAAATCGCCACCATCCGTCACAAAGAGCTTTCTGCACATGCTTCCAGTATGTGCTTTGAAATTACGGCTCTGTACTCTGTCAAAATAGTTGCGGGGGCGCAGCTTCTTGCGTCTCGTAAAGAGAAATACGAGGAGACCAGCTATCAGTACAACTACTGAAAACAGCACAGGCAAGCTTATTAATAAGACACCATTACAAGAGTTTTTACTTTTTTTTTTCTGTACACGATAAAAGAAGGCTGTGTCTTTTCGTTCACTCGCTGACAATCACACACACACACACAAACACGCTTGAATGAAACCAGAGTGAAAAAAAAACAAAAGCAGTGTCGACGCTGCTTTCTTTACTTTTGTTGTGCAAGTGAATACTTCTGAAGTAAATACTGTAAGACTGACTTTACACAGCCCAGTTGTCCAATGAAACTAGTACTACCCAGTCAGTAAGAAATGAAAGAGTCAATCTGTTTTCACATGCAGGGGTTAGAAAATAGTCATTAAAGTGAGCCACTTTAAAGCCGTCACTGTTGATTTTAGTATCAAAAAACACAGTGAAACCTAACATGATGTGTACTGTCTCTCAGTTAGAAAACAAGTGAGAACCAGGGTCCAAAGTCCAAGCTGCTTTCACTCTCTGTCGTAAGAGGTGTAATATCTCACCCCAAGAGTTTCCAGTGTGGTCTGAACAGAAACAGTGTTTATGTATGATTGTTCATGTGTAATTGGAGATGCTGGAGGGCTGATTCAGCACCTGAGGTGGGCTCTGTGCTTTACAGTGTCTACACCACCCCTTCGATGAAACTGGTGTCCAGGTGAACGATGAGCATTCTCAGGAAGGACATCTCTTTGCGTGTGTTCTCGAAGATGATCCGTGGATCGTCCGATTGGCATCGAAGGCAGTTGGGGGCCATCACCATGGCCAGGTTGTTTACGTCCATCTTGGTTATAGCCACGTTGGATGGCTGAGCGAATACCTAGAGATAACCAGGGTGGAAGGAGAGCGGAAGCAGTGAGCAAGGCTGAGTGTACAGGCTGACCTTTGACCTGCAGTGAGTAATGTGTGTAGTCACACTGAGTTATCCAAGAGCTCAAAGGCTTCGTGTTTTTATTTTAAATGTTATAATGAGTTTAGTTTTAGTTTTGAACAACTGTGAGGTTTAGTTTTTTGTAGGGTTAATACATTTTTGAAGGCATCGGATGTTCACCACAAGAATTGCATGCAGGAGGAGTTGTGTAGAAATAAACAATAGAAATTTACTTTTAAAATTGTAAATGTGTCCTTCAGTCAGTAAAAACAAGCAGAAACTCTAATAAGCACCACACAAAATAACATTTCTGATTAAACTAAAATTAAAATCATTTGACTTTGAGTTTTAATTCAGTTTTTTATTTTAATTCTTTTGTTTTGTAAGTGTTTGTTGTGTTAGTTTTAGTTTAGTGACCTTGTTTTCAGGGCCGAATACAATATTACAAATAGGGTTGTGTGTGGGGGAGGGGCAAAGGTAACGTGGTGCTTCTTCATTAAAGTAAAGGAAATATGGAAACACAAGAGAAGGGCGGGGTGAAACCTGTACAGATTGGTCATGATGGTGTTAGTGGACTTTGGGGACCTGGCTGGGGTAAATAAGGGGAAGTGCTTTTGTTTGTGGGGATCACAGATCTTTGTGGACGTGTTGGTTACCTGCAGGAAGTGGATGAAGTAGCAGAGCACCAGTCTGTTGAGCTCAGGCAGGGACTGAACCACGGCGATGGCCGCCACTGGGTCGTCACAGTTACTGACGCACTGCTTGTAGAAGTTCATCGGGATGAGAGGTTCCTCCAGCTCCCGATACCATAGCTTCATCAGAGAGGCTGAACGGGACAAAACACACTCAGTATTCTTATTCACACCCAGTATATACACATGGCCGACACATGACAAGAAACCAGATGTTTTTACCCAAAATACTTCCTCCCTCACCTGGAACGTTGGGGTCAGAGAGATTCTCTGGGATCCTCCACTGGTCAACTTGGAGCTTCAACGCGTTCACTTCATCAATGTCTCCAGGCACCCTAAGAAATGTAAAAACAAAATAGCACGTCAGTTACACTCAGCGGTCACAAGAGGGCCCTCTACCTCTATCAGTACAGATTCTCCATGCCCTGTGGCAAATCCATTACTCATGCACACCCAATTGGCTTCAAATGTGGCCTGGTGGCTGAAAGTGCTGTGTTCTTTGTTTGCAGTACTTCTTTGGAATGAAACAAAAACAGAATAAACATAATGTAATCAAACAACGCACGCTGTTCCGGAAAGTCCCCGTGTAGGAGCACGGTTTCACAGGGAGAGCCGTATAGGGTTTGACGAAAGGGAACACTTTCCTAAACAAGTCAAGATGTTACGGAATTGAATTTGCTGGAGAAACCCCTACACAAACACACAGATGTGAAGCTCCCACGTGCTTGTAAGCTTAAGCAGTAATGTAAACACACATTATGAAGTATCAAATTAAACAGTGCTGGTGTTTGTTCTGCTGTCTGTTCTGTGTACTGTACACAGGGAGAGCCTACGTTTAAATACAGGGATACAGCAGACCACACACATTTGTTTATACACACACTATACATACAATAATGCTCACACAAACACATACAGTACATAAGATCCCCTTCTAATTTCCTAGACTCCACCTCTCTCGCGCTGCTCAAGTTGCAGCATGTAATTGGCCAAGTTCAGTCTATCTTACCTGAAGATGCCCTCTGTCTGAGCCCCGCCCAGAGCCAGAACATACTGGGAAAGCTGAACCTGCACCCAGGGCAGTTTCCTGTCTGGGAAGAGCTCGCTCTGCCTCTCCATCACCTCTTCCAGAGAACTGCCAAACAGGGAGGGAGTGACGATGGCCCGCCTACTGTGGTCGATCTCCTCCAAGGTGGGCTTGCGTAGACCCTGGAGGGGTGAGAGGCGAGTAAAGAAGAAGATTTACTACCTGAGTATGTCAGGGACTATGATACTAATCACGACTGTGTCTGCAGCTGCGCTACTATGACTGAGTCTGTGTTTATGTCTCTACCTGTGACTGTGTCAGTGTGTCTGTAATTATGTCTCTCTGTGACGGTATCTAGGATGACTCAGATCCAAATCACAACTGTCAAACTGATACTGTCTATGTTTTATCACGTGAAAGCGACGTATTTTTGGTAGCATGAACTTTTTCTTCTAGCTTACCTTTTTGCCTCCGGTGATCGCCACCTTCTGCAGTTTGCGATGGCAGAACTTGGCATATGTGCTAATAGGCAGACCTGTGGGTTGACAGAAGAGAAAAATTCAGTCTCCACCAGAGACAATATGTACACCCTTTTTATGACCCCAAAGACCTGAAGTAAACCCCTTCAGCATAATCAGACATTACTAAACACACAAAATAATAAATGATTTGAATTATTTCTCACAAATAGGACAAACTGTGTCCCCCCCCCCCCTATGTCAAATAGTGTCTGAGAGGCAGGCAGCGGTAATTGGAGAGACATGTTGACGGTGTGATTCTGGCATATGGGGATTAGAGCAGGCTCGGCTAAACTGTCAGGCTGAGGGAAGATTTACTGCTGTTGAACAAAAGCTTTAGAGGCAGGATCCGGCCTACACATCCAACGTTCAGGTGATTCATCAGCGTACACAGACATAAAGGGCCTCCGAAGAAAATGAGAAACACAGAGGCTCCCTCGTTGCTACCTGCCCTAAAGCAGTTACTGTAGGGCCCAGATCTATTTCGGAAGTGAACTGCATGAGAGCAATGTTGTTTTCTGAGGCGGGTCGTACTTCAAGGAGACACTAGCAACAGAAGTCCCTAAAAAGTTAGCGATTATGCACACTTCTAGTTCTCAAACAAAACGCCAACAGAAATCCTTGATTGTTTGGTCGTTGTGTGTGCTCATGAAAATAAATCACCCCCCTGTTTCATTGCTGTGGTAACTCAAGTTTACACCAAACACTGAGCTCTCATGGGGTCCATTCCCGTTCCCAGAATCTTCACTGTATCAGCTAGCCGAACCAGGGCCAGATGGACAAACCCACGGCTGTGATTTAAAAAGTAACAAACACTTTCCAGCATGTTCCCTGTAGTCAAAGCCCCCAGATTTATGGCAAACAGGTGACTCCCATGAACGCTCTCGCAACTGCTGCTAATCTGACCAAGTTCGACTATAATTATGTCTAATTAGAGAGATCATACCAATAATTTGCCCTTGATCTTGGCAAAGACGGTCTCTTTTTCCCAAGGCTCCCAACATAGAGGCTGTACACTTACTCGGAGAAAAGCAAGAGTGCAGAGCCCCAGTGCTGCAGCGAGAAAGGGTTTAAACACTACCGGTGGTCTATATTTACATCAGGTTCGATGGCATGAAAACAACAACAACCAGGCAACCAAAGCTCAGGAGAAATACGAGCTCATTAGGAGCTTGAGTGTACCGTACCAGGCTGAGAACGGCATGACACCTGTCACGGCCAGGCTGAAGCTAAACTCCACAACAACAACACAGAGGCAATAGAGGATGTTGAGGAGACAACTTCAGTCTCGTCTTGGTTATTGTTTATGAGAAAAATCTACAATAATACAAGTGCAGGCTGAAACAGACGCAGCCCCGGGCCCCGAGCCCACAGAAGTCAGTTTCCAAGCCCAGACCAGGCCAGGTCTGGGCTGACAAGAGGCCTCCAGTTCCCACATGTGACTCCTACTCTCTTCACACTGGTCAGACAAAGTACGTGTGTTCCAGCTCCTTTATCCATTAGGCAAACAACAGCTCACATGCTGTTTTTGTACATGTGGGTCTTTTTTTCATGCTGGCTTTCATCAAGATTCCTCTCTCTGAAAGACCTTTGGAGTTAGTCACAACTGTTCAGTAGGCTTTCTCTTTGACCTCTTAGTCATTTGGAGCTTTTCCAGCATAAAGCACCGAGACTGAGTCACTGAAGTACAATGTGTGAGGCCACTGCTGTGGTGTCTGCAGTGAGATGTTTGGGTTCCTCTCTGGTGGCATCATCACCAGAGCTGGCAGTGTGGGCTGCTCTAATGAGGGCACGTGCTGATGAGTAGGTTTCCCCTTAAATGGCTGTCTGACATGCAAGGAACAGGAGAGACCGCTAATATGACTCACAGTGTGGTCCATTGTGCGCTTAGAGGGACAACTCTCTTCTCATCCTACATATTTTTTTCAGCTCAGCTTTCTGTGAAACCCATTCATTGTGTCTGCAAGTACATCAGCGTGCACTCATCTGAATTTTCCATCCCAGTCAGAGTGGTCACTCTACAGGGAGCGATATGTTAGATTTCTAATGGCTTGCATTGCTTAGAGACTCCAGCCAGCAAGAAAGTAGAAAAACATCTTTGAGACTCCCTCCCCCTACCGACTACACTTTGTGCTCTGACAAAGACATACGCTCGTACAAATGGAGGATCCAGTGTTCTTAATGCGATATTTTGGACTGAAGAGCAAGTAAATGAGACGTACCTTCTTCCTCGTCTGTATTCTGTTTCCGCTTCTTTCTGGACTTTGAATTCTTCTTCAGCTTCAGTTCCTGCTGTTCCAATATGAACTGAGTCACTATGAAACAGATGATAGCAAAGGTCAAATTTCTGATGGTCAGCTCGATAAACACAAGGCCGACAATCCGATTATCACGATCATCCTAACTCAATTAAATTCACATTCCACAGGAAGGGAAAGAGGAACATGCTAATTTCATTTTAAAAAGTGAGACATCTCTCTGGCCTACATAAACATCGTTGAAGATCAGACAACACAGGGAGGTACAAAAGAAAGAAAGTTGACCCACCCTGTTGCTCAGTCTGAGACTCACATTTCTTGTCGCTGGTGGGCTCCGTGTGTCTCTGGATGTAGCCCTCCAGGTAACAGCGGAACTTTGGCGAGGGAGCGAAGAACGCCATGCTGACAGCCATCAGCTCCCAGCCTGCCGCCAAGCTCCTGGGGCTGGCATTGCCTGTGGTCTGCCTCACCAGCTGCACATACAGCTCGTCCCGCAGCCCCGGCATGTCCCAGCACTTGGTGACGATGAGCAGGGCACAGTGACGGCGGTCCAGACGGGAAGGCCTGTCTCCCATGTACGCCTGCACCAGCTTGAACATCTCACAGGCCTCCTTCCTGACGGCGCGGTTGCTGGTGACTAGCATGGGCTTTTTGATGGACCCACGGTTCCATGACAGCATGTTGGCAATGGAGACGCGCCGACGGAACAGGCCTTGTGTGTGCATGTTGAGGTGCTTGCTGGCCCAGTCCTCCATGCCCATGGTGGGAGGTGGGGGCTGCCGCAGGGTGGCGTAGGAGAGTTGGAAGGAGGATCCTCGTGCTCGTTCTCCTGCCCCATCAACTCCTTCTCTGTTGTCATGGTTGGCAGGGCGGTGGGGGCCCAGGGAAGCTGTCCGCCCATCCACCATGCCTTTCTTCCTGCTCTCCAACTGAGCCTGCAGCTCTAGGGTACCCACCTGCAGGGGGAACAAGAGGTGGACATGAGATAGGGGGAAAGAGTTGAGGAGGAGGGAGGATAAGGCAGAGTGGGTGAGGCAAGAGTGCAGCAGAAGTACAAACTGTGCAGCTGCAGAGTTTTCACTGTGTCACACTAGCAGCTGGGCTGCCGACTGAGCTCTGCTCTGCAGTGCTGGGGCTGGAGGGGGAATTGTTGCAGGATCGGCACATTAATCTCCCAATGCCAGAAAATAATTGTACCAGGACAGGAATCACAGGCCTCAGGAGCAGGTGACCAGATAGCAATATAATAGTCCTTACTCCTGCCCCTTCCTCCACCAAGCTACCCTGCAAAACCAACGCTATGCTCTATGCTCTCCCTGTGATCCCTGCGGTAGAGTTTATGACTGTAAGGAGCACCTCACCTCCCTTAATAGGGAAAGCCAGTAACCCAGACATGCTCTGCAAACAGCCAGCAACAACAGAAAACCAGAGCCAGAATCAAAGCTTCAATTTACTAATGGAACATAAAACGCATTGACATGTCTTTTCAATGAGACCCTGATGTAATATTGAGTTTGACGACTGCCAGGCAAGCTGGACTTTTGGTTTCTCAATCAAATGGAGCAGATCTGAGGTTCGGCTTTGGCAGAGAGTCTATACGGTCGTACAGAGTTGATGTTTTTTTAAAGTGACAGAGGTCAACTCCAGAAGATCAAATACAACGATGCACACATTTAACTGAGGAATGGGGCAAGCTCTACAACTTCTACTTTCAGAAAATTACAGTGTTTTACAGATAGCTTACAGATGCACAGGATGGTCATACTGTGCTATGGATTGAGACAACAGTGAGAGTAAAAAATACTCTCCACTTATTATTCGTGGTCTTTGAGGAAAGTTCAAAGGTCTTTCGACAAGAACAGAATGTTAAAATATGGAAAATGTGCTCATACATAGCAAGCCATAATCTGGGGGTGTGTGTGAGTGATATAACAGCAGGTCTGAAGAACATTCCAGGACAGACTTAGGGGGCCCGCTCAGTGCTCCTTGGCTGTTGTCTAACATGCTAAAGCTACAGTGGTACCAATAAGCCTTGGTACCCGCCTGCCTCCCCTTCCTCCCTCTCATCTCCCTGCCAAGCTTTGGCCATATGGGCCGCAGCAGCCCTCCTTCCTGACCAAGGGAAGCCATGTCCTGAATCTCTCTGGTCTGGCATGGCCCAGATGCCCAAGCACAGAGCTGGCATATGAGTATACAGTACCTGCAGTGCAGGGCAGATGGACGGTGGTAAGATGATGACAGGTAATGCTGGGACTGTGGCCATTATTGTCAGCGGTGCCCAGCCTGCCCACTGCCTAAATTTGGCACTGAAGATTGGAATGTAAGAGGCATTACTCACAAAATGCTCTGTGTTATTTTCAAAGAGACAGATTATCTTTACTCTTTTCATCCCAGTATTCCCTGTTGAATCAAACATTCATTATTATAGTGGCAGAGGTGCTGTGAGGCGGCTTCTGAAAGAAACACTTTAATGTATGGATGTATGGGGTGTGATTCTGTTGCAAGAGAGGATTTAGAGATTAGAAGTAGCAGATCTTGGAACAGGCTCCACATGCTGCTACTTATATAACTGTTTTGAGAAGTCAAATAGTTCTTTCATCTTCGATCATGTGCCAGGACCCTTGACGTCAAGATAAGCCCAATTCCTCCACATATGTGTCTTTGTATTTTAGTGCTCTGCAAACTTTAAATATAAAATCTGATCTGCCCCAATAGTCAAGAGGAATATTTCTGCCCATTATAACAATCTGTCTATTCTTCCACTTACAGCTCTTTGAGGACTAGACACACTAAACAATACAAGCGCAGCAGCTAAAAATTCCCATAATACGCAGATGCTTTATTCAGGCATGACTTTAAACAGTGGGACTGAATTATTCTCTAATCTGATAGTGAATCTGGAGAGACATCAGTAATCAGAGCATTTCCAGACCAAACAAAGCTGAATCCAAGCAAACCTGCTGAGGTAAACAGACCACACAATAACACAGAGTTGAGCTCTTAATCAGACACTAAAGTATCATAATATTGCAATAGCCAAAACATTATCTTACAATCTCTATTTTGTTATTAACAATAATTTAACTTCTTCTGTTTTCCTCACACACACACACACACACACACACACACAGAGCAACATACAAACCCTAATAGGGGGTGGGGTTACCTGGGAGGGCGGTCCTGGGGTCTCCGGTGAGGACAGGCTGGCCTGGCTATTCACACTCAATTCCAAGGTGTCCACCTTTTCAAAGGTCCTTTTCTGCCTCCCTGGTATATCCAGAGGGGTCAATGCAGGGTTGCCATGGTTACCTGCCCTACTCAGTGACCGGGGGGTGAGGTCCTCTCGTGATGCGCACCTTCCTGCTGACCCCCCTTCCCTTCCTCCATACCACCGAAGTGAGTCTGCAGGGGAGCGTGTCCGAGGTACAACTACCCTCTCCCCCATCTCCGGGTCCAGCCCCGCTCTCACCTCCCTCATGGTGTTTGAGCGACTCACCACCTCCCTCATCTCAGCCATCAGCCTCTCATTGAGGGCGCACAGCTCCCCAGTGCTTCCCACCGACCCCGGCCTGCCTCCTGCACCGCCACCGGCTCCCACCCTCCTCCTGCTCTTTCTTCTCAGACTTGGCGAGGGGCCAGTGGAGTAACCAGAGTCTTGGTAGTTTGCTATGGCCTGGGGGGTTGAGGAGGGGAAGTCCTGGGAGGCCTGGCTGCTCTGCCTGCTGTGTCGTGCCTCCATGGCACGCTGGACAGTAGCTTCAAGGACCCGCCAGCTTTGCTTCTTGTCCAGTGTACTTGGGCCTGGGGTCCCTGGCTCTCTGTCCCTAATCTGGCCCCGAACCTGGGGCAAAGAGTGGGCCTGGGCATGCGGATGTGGCTGAGGCTGGGTCAAGACAGGATCCTGTCTGGAGGTAGGGGAAGGGGCACGTGTGGGTACAGGAGAGCCGGATAGGAGCCCCTGTTTGGGGTCCACGTTGACCATGTGCTTGATGCACTCCAGACCAGCTGGGCTGTAGTCAGAGGCAGAAGGATTCCTCCTGTGTCTGGACCCTGAATGAGATGAACCAGGGTGCTGGAGGTGTCTGGGCTTTTGGAGGCTATGGGTAGGTGTCAGTCGAGACAGAGATTGTCCGTTGTACAGGTGTGCCCCCTCTACCTCCATGTCTATTGGGGGTTCATCATATATGGGACTTTCTGAAACTGGCTCATCATAGATTGGGGCAGTACAACCATACTGCGGAGAGACGGGGCGCGGTGTGCTGGTCTGTGACCTGTGGAGGAGCGGACTGGGATGGCTACTGTCTGTTGTCACCAAACAGAAGCTGCCATTACTGGCTTTTCTCAGGTGATGGGCCTGACGCGTGTCGGCCGCCATTTTGCCAGAAGGGGCAGTTTTGTACCCCTGGGTCGAGCTTAAGTGTCCTCCTTGGGCCTTGTTGCTAGAGGGGTGCAGGGTGAAGGTGTTGGCTTTGCTGTGTGCACTGTTTTGGGGGTGCTGCTGCTGCTGCTGCTGTTGCTGTAAGGTTGGGTTGGGTTGGCTACGGCTCATGCTGTTCACCTTCACCAACATGGCTGCCTTAGAACCAGGTGCAGGCTGCCATCTTTGAGAAGTATCCCTGACGGAGAGAAAACACAAACAGAATGAGATTTGACATCAGTCAAAGCAACAAAGTTTAAATAAAGTCTAAATAAACAGTCAACAGACAGTACCATAGATGTACTATCATCATGTTCAATCAGAAACAGGCATGAAGCCATTCGCTATATTTCATCTACTCTAAAGCTGACAGGGTTGGGAAAAGTCAGCAGCAATCCACAAATTCTTCTCCAAACATTTCACTGACCTCCAAAGACTTTACTCCATTTTTAGTCTGGCAGTCAAAATAGGCTTGTCAAACCCATGAGACAATAACTCCAGTGTGTGTTGTGCCTAAAAATACTGAACACAACGCATCTTACTGAAACCCATCCACACCTAACATGTGGGACTCAGAGGCCTGGAGAATATACATAGGGTAATGTTATACATAATAATTGCTGGTAGTTGTTTGTTTGTTTATGTGAAGTAGCTAATGTTAGTTTTTATCTCATATGATTATCACATCTGAATCACTGCATGAACATTTGGACAGAAAACCAGCAGGCCACATGAAAAGAGGTTGGTCAGAGAGCAGTCAGAACTGCAGTAGTTCACAGCTGAGAAGATCTTCACACGGGTCCAAAGGTTAATTCTTCTCCTTTTGGTTGAGCGGCTGGGCTAACTTCAAACCCAACGGCCCACTGCTAATCCCAGCAATGTAAAACAATCTGCCATCAATCTGGTCATGCTGCTCTGGTCTGCTGCCCTCCACTCTGCTGTCGCCTCATAATCTTCCCCAGCAATCAGGACTTTTCATTCCTCAACTGATCAAAAACTTGCCCTCTTAAACTAATGAGTGTGTCTAAAGCGGGCATTATTACACACACACGCATGGACACAGTTGGCGGCTGGCCTGAGTCAGACACATGTGACGCAGTACAGAATTTACAAGCTCAACGGACTTCCTCGCTTAATCAAAGGTCAAACAGGTAAATAAGTTTGAAGGCAGGCAAAGGAGACTTACCTTCGCTCCCTCCAACCTCTACTTAACATTCAGTAGGCTAATTAATTAGATCAAAGCCGATCACCTTCTGTCTTCGTAAATCCAAACATAAACACAGATCAGTGTAGAGCCAGAGCAAGTGCTCAAAGGCTTCCTTTTTCCAAGAGCACTACTATTCAGTTGAGAGTTGGGCTGTAACGGCAGTAAGAGGACGCAGAGGGTGGAGAGAAAGAGGCGGAGTGACCCCCCTCTCCTCCCCACATCTCTCTGGAACAATGCTGAAACAATTCCCCTGAGGTCCTCGAGCCAACGGCAAACTTCCTTTTAGTCATCCAAGCTACAGCTCTGCATTCTCTCTCTCTCTCTCCCTCAGGACCCTGTGCCACCCCCCCATCAATAGAGTGAGTCACACTCCACCTCAGCAATTTGAATGTAAACAGTCTCTCATCTTCAAACGGTCCCACAGATTCACCATCCATGCAGGGCCTGTAAACAGCTGGTTCTCAGCCACCTGGCACGGCTCCAGGACAGCCTGCCACAACCACTGGTGTTGGGAATGCTCCAAGCCCCCACCTCACTGAGACCAATCAAGAAAGTTTACTGCCTAAATAACACACACACACACACA